GTGCTTACTTCCATTTCGAGTGGAGGTGTTTGGTGAAGAGATTCGAAGGTCGATTCCACCAGAAGACGACAGCGAATTCCTCTTGACCAGATATCGATTGGCTTTACTGTAGCAACCAAATTCAAGCTAACGAGTCAAGAAAGCTCACCGCAAAATCCCTAAAAAGCGGTATAAGCAAACACAAACAGGCATATGCACACTGACAGGCTTTGAAGTTGACCGTAACTAACCAACTCACTTAATACCTAATCAGAGGCCAGATATAGAGTATATATATTGCTTTTTAGGGATTTTCCGGTGAGTTTTCTTGACCCGTTTGCTTGAATTTGGTTGTGACGATGCTACCTTGCTCTGAGGATGTTCGTCATATGACGAACGAAAGCTTAGCACCTTTTCTTTGGAATCAATGGAGATTACTTCGGAAACAGCGTCAGCAGGAATGTTCCAGTAAAGCCAATCGACAGCTGGTTAAGAGGAATCCGCCGACGTATTCTGATGGAAGCAATCTTTGAATCTCTTCACCGAACACTTGCACTCGAAATGTAAGTAAGCACAACAATTATGAAACAAGAGACTCCTCGAAACCCAACTTTTCTTCGTAGGCTTTCTTAATCATAAGTACCCAGAGTCTGCCTTCTCAAGTACCTACGTAACATCTTTGTTAAATTATCCTAATAGTAAGTTTTGCAAGCAGGGCAGGTTTCTAGCCTTACAACTCTTTCCCAAAAAAAACGTTCCGGCTTTGATAGTTATCCATTTTCCCGCTTTTCAATTTGTATGGAGGATACATTTTCGGGTGCTATGAGCGTTACCAATCTTCCAGTAAATTGGCTTTAATCTTCATAATAGTCACATACTCTGAACTGGTTCATTAATGAGACCACCTTTTTGTGTATTCAAAAACCCTTTGAGCTCGTAAAAAAATGAGAGCAGCCTTGCAGTTTGGTGAACCTTATCTTGTTTCACTGATTTGCTTTTCCGGGTTTCCTTTTTGCTCCATTCCGCAGAAATGATAAGTTGAGGCAGGTTAAAGTAAAAATTGACGTTTTTATTTATTTATGTAAATGTCCTGTCGCAGTTTGGATCATGCATAAATGTCCCATCCCCTTTGCGCTGTATTGTAACCTGCTTAAACGTCGTTTTTCAGTCATCAGTGGAGTTATTCTACTCGTCTTGTTCATTCTGCTGATTTTCTTCTGCCGGCACTTCACCGTTGAGCGTGGTGATTACGACACTCGCGAGGCCAAGGGAACCAAAAACGTGTACGTCGCCGACTTGGCAATTCGGGATGGCCGTACGGGGCAGCCAGAAATGCGTGGCCAGGAATGGTGGCTCTAATACACCACTCCCACTCAACTGTACACGCACACGCACATTCACAGATCCCTATACGCTTGTCATATCTGGTACCAGTTGCAGGCTGCCTCTCACTCGATTTTGTGCTGGGCGCCTATAAATGGAGCCTTAACTCGAGTGTATCTAAATCAGTCGCCCTCAAACCAGATTCAACATGAGCCGCTGAAATCAGCTACCACTTCGTGTCGACTCGTACTTCAGTTGACTCGCGACAAAGCACTTTATGACAAAGCTTCTCTCGAATTCACTGATCCGACCTCACCATGGATCGCTTTGTAAAGTATGCTGTAGTGCCTTTCAGATTCCTCCAGCCGGGCTATTCATCACTGCTTGCTGACGTCTCAATGACTTGACGTATTATGTTGACTCGAAGCGCTGAGCGCCGAGTTCCCGAATGTACCTTTGACTAGCGTATCCGATTCAATCCCCGAGCTATACTTTCTCAGCTTTTTATGATTTTGCCCGGAACAATGTATTGTTTTTCAAACTTTCTATGTGTCCTGTCCACCTCAATTGTGAATTACTGGCGGAGTTCTGTACATCTCACGATTCCTTGCTAAGTCGCTTGCTGTAGATACCTGAAAGAATTTTTTATTTTGATACAGTAAAATTCAGTGTCTGAGCTTCTTCTTTTATCTTCTATATGTTCCTAAGGTGAGTGATCCTTCTCATAGTAGAAGTTTTTATTGCCGAGGAATG